TTTAGTCTTTACCAATCTCATTTAATAAAGACTAACTTTGTAAAAAAAGATTAGTTTGTAAGAAAGGAAGATAGGGCAATCTACTTCTGTAGGGATACCACCTCAGAAACCCAAGGAGGGGTCGCTATGAGTTGAATCAATTCTAGAGCAGTGAGCTTGTTTTTTTCCGGTTTAACTTTGTAACTGCCAGCTGGCTTTGCACTACATAAGTGGGTTAGGCCACATCAGCACTGCCCAGTGGCCACACCATCAGTGGTCACTCTCATGATCCCACTGGGCTGTACTCAGAGCATTCTGAAAGAGAAGCTCAGCAGACTCAGGGAGGGCAGGCAAGGCTGGCTGAATGGACTGGGAAAGTCTGAGGGAGAGAACCCCACATAGCGTCATATAATGCAAGGATGCTCAGACTTGGGGATGCAGAGGTCTCCCACGGGAGCCTAAGTAGGTCTTGTTAAAATGCAACTCAAGAGGCCCAGCCGGCAGTTGGTATTTTTAACAAGCACCTCAGTGACTCTAATGCAGGTGGCCCGAATACCTCACTATAGGAAACACCAATTTGGGGGAGGCCTGGTATGTGCCAAACACCATGCTGGCTCATTCATTCTCAAGACAACCCTATGGATTTTAGGTTTAACAGATATGGGAAGCAGGCCTGGAGAGGGCAAGCCTCACACTGGGCACAGGGGTAGAGCCAGGACCCACAGGCCCAGCCCAGGACGGGAAGACTACCTGGGGGGTCAGACAGTGAAGGCACTGCCAGGAGGATGGTCAGTATGAGCAAGCACAGAGGGGAGAGAGTAGGGCATTCCCGAAGCCTGCTGCAGTGTGGGCAGGGAGCAGCCCTTCATGCATACCAAACCAGCCACCAGTGCACCAGGAGAAGGGACCATGGCAAGCAAGCACCAGGGAGGGAAGTGTCCAGAGACAGCAGGACCAAAAGATGGCAGGTCTCTAAAGCCAAGGTGAAGAGGTCTCAGCCACAGGACAGTCTGGAGGATGGGGAACACGTGATCAGGCAGTCTTTTAGGAGGATTATTCCAGAACAGGAGGGGGTAAAGGGCTGTCCATATGGCAGAAACGGTTCAGCACCAGCACAGGATGGGACATGCAAAGCATGCCTCAGACTAAGTCTAAGTATGCCCAGACTAGTTCAGCTGGCACAGCGTAGCGGAAGAGACACAGTAGGTAGGGCACAGGCTGGAGTGGGGAGGAGGCTGGTGATGTAAGCAGGGCCAGTTAGTACCACAGCAGCCAGCACAAACCACAGGGCCTGCATACAGAAGTTCTGGGGATACACCAAGAGAGGGACAGAGGGTTGGTCGGCTCCTTCAGGAGCAAGGGCAATAAGCCTCAATTCTCTGTAGCCATGAATGGCCACCAGGGACCCTGACCATCAGCAGCCACCGAGCCCAATGATGCCACTGCATGACTGCACACATCAGCTCAACGGCTGCTTCACCACACTGCCTGGCTGTCCACCACCCAGATCTGAGACTACCCAGTGCTCCAGATGCCACCATGCTGCCCTGGCCAGCTGGGCTTCCTCCCAACTGCTGCCAGACCCCACCCCACCCCCAGTGGGCCCTGCCCATCTCAGCTTCTGCCAGGGTGTAGACTGCAATGCTCCCAGGAAGCAATGCCCTTGTCACCCCACAGCAGACAAACCATCCAGATATGGCACAGTTCCCCAAACCACCCTTATAATATTAATCTTTGAAGATGAATATGGAAAACAGACAGGGTTCTCACCGAGGCCCCCAGAGGGGCCTTGCTCGATCCCCCATAACTCACCCACTTCCTAGGCTCATGCTCTTCCCCTAACACCTCACTGCCAATGATGTCCTCATCGACAGACTCCACGTGTTTCAGAGGCTTTGAGAAGGGTCTGCCCCATGTGCATGTGGGACGGGGGGAGTTCTTGGGTAACATGTATACACCAGAGACTCCTCTTTCCCACAAACCCTAAACTGCGTACTATGAGAGCTAGACCATGGCTCTTGCCCTCACACCCCGAGCACCACGGGGAAGCCTGGCTCAGGACTCACTTTGATCCTGGCATGGCCCTGAGGCCTTAGGTTCCAATTCTGGAAAATGGGCTTCTATTTGTATGACTCAGCTTCCATCACACCAGCTAATCTGTGCAAAGCTCTGCCAAGACCACAGTGGAACAAGGGCTGAAGACTTCTCCAAACAGCTTGCCTGGCCAAGATCACTCTAGACTCTCTTCCTCAACATCCCTTTCACCCAGTGTGCCACGTAAAATAGCAGACCTGCCTCCAAGGACGCAGCAGCAGTGATGGAAGCATCCAGCTGGCACCCAGACATGTGCTGGCCAGGCGGCCCCAGCACTGCGGGCCCACGCTAAACCACGGGCAAGGCCTGCTTCTCCAGGTGGTAGTTCTCACGCACCAGCAGCACACGAATGGCTGACTCAGACGCTAGCAGAGCTGGACCTTCGCTGCCCAGGCCAGTCAAACAAACCAACTGAAAACACAGAACCAGGTAAAGAGCAGAAGGCATGGCAAGGGCACTGGCTGGAGATCCATCCTCGTGTAAAGAAATGAGGTTATGGAGTTGGGAGTGTCTGCCGCACTGCAGCCATGCTAAGCACATCCTCTAGAAAGTTTGCTCAAGGAAAAGAGGTTGCCTTTCTTCTGATGAGTGTCGGAGCGCTGCCCAGGCACTTCCAGCCATTCCCACGTGGAAAATTATTCTAAACAATTAAATCATCACATAAATGAGGGTTAGGGTTAGGATTATGGTTAGGGGAAATCTGAACAAGATCGGTGAATTGTATGAATGTCAATACCCTGGTTTGCCACTGAGGGAAACTGGGCAAAGGGTCCCCAGGCCTTTCTGTCTACGCATTACAACTGCATGTGAATGCACAATTCTCTCAACAAAAAATTATTTCTCCCATGCTGTGGCATTTTACAACTGAACAGTTATCCCACTCCCAATGTGACACCAAAACAAAAACAAAAAGCAGTGAGTACCACCACTAAAGCAGGTACCTGTCCCTGTGCTACCCCTTTTGGGGCGATAAAATATTACCTGGAAAAGAAACTTTTTCAAGAGTGAATCACAAGTTCATAGGCAAAATTTATAACAGAGATGGTAACAACTGTCAGAAGCAGACACAGAGCCTGCCTGGCTGTGAGGCGTATTTTAACCATGGCATCTTGCTCAACGGGGAGAGCTGAGCAAAATGTCTTTCTCTCCAGAATGGTCACCAGGGGAGCAGAGGTGACAATGTGCTTCCATCCTTGCTTCTCAGCAGGGCTCATGCCATGCTCACTGCCGTGGAGTCAGCACACCCTCCCGATGGCAACGTGTGCTCACAGCCACTCCCATAGTCCCTGGTCATTAGCTGCTCAATAACAGCAACATAAATTGTGTTGCGTTTTCCTAACTTCACTGCTTGCATCCACTAAGTGCCTCGGTGACTGATGGCTCCTCCACATGGAAGAGCAGACAGGAGTTAGCAAGGCTCCCGGCTCCTCTGGAACATGAACTGTGAGGACTGAGTGTGGAACACAGCCCGTGCTCATGCATCTTTAATTCAAAACTCCACAAGCCCTTTGCACAATGAGACCCTTAACCCCCAGTCCAATTTCAGATCCTGAGGAGGAAACACAGGTCTCTCAGCATCCCTCACCATAACAGTAATGAAGCAGAAGCAAGTACACGCTAACCTTCAGGTATCTTTGTTTGATCTGCAGCTCTACTAACACCCATTGACAAGTCATAAAGTGATGGATCTATCTCATGCCCCAGGAACATTTGGTTAGAGTACCCACAACCCCAGGTAAGACAGATTGACATAAGCTGACTAAAGTTGGCCTGTGTCGAGGTTCTTAGCACTGGTACAGACAAAGGCAGCTATCACAGAGGGGCTCACAGCCCCTCCCCGACCAATGGGGCCAAGGCCTGGGTCACAGGGCCAGAAGCAAGTCCCCACAGTCCCTGCACTCACTTCTCAACAGCAGTGACAGTGCTATAGTCCCTCCACCTCCAACTCCTCCTCTGTTTCAGGAGAACACAGGCAAATTATAGAGGATTTGATGACTTCCTATAAGCAGATTATGGGGGACATGTTTAAGGCTCATGGTCTATGGCAAAGCCAACCTGAGATTCCTGGTTTGCTCCTGTCTGATTAATTTATCATTTGTCCTCTCTTGTTGTCATTCCTCTAAGATAATGGGAAAAGAACCCAGCCAGTGACCACCATGGGCCCATCTAGGAAAGCCAACAACTCAGATACAGCACCTTCATCCCAGCAGGATCAGCAGGCACCGAACACAAACACTCCACACTGGAGCTGAGCTGCACTCACCTTTTCTTCAGGGCCTTGCATGTTTCCCCCCAGAACCAAATATGTAGCACATCAGTGCTCTCGATCTCAGCTACCAAATTCTGCTCTTCTGTAAGCTGAGCGGGGAGTCAGCCCACCCGAGATGCCAGGAGCCCTGCCATGAGGCAGGTGGGGAAGGGGCAGGTGGATTCCTCAAGACAGCCTCCCATAGTGTCAAGAAGGGCCGAGGTCCGGTACCTCCATCCACTGAGCCCTAGAGGAGAGCCCACCCACCATAGTAGTCTCACAACCAGGCAAGGTGACCACTCTCCACCATGAGAGCATCTGATTCTAGAACTCACACTGGGACAGAGCCTTTCACCTGCCACAGGAATTTTCGTTTTCTAAAATAGCCAATGTTGTGATGCCATACGGGTGGGATAAAAGAGCATAGTTTTTCTGGCCACACTCACAAAGACATGAACTATGAACATGAGGGATGTAAGATGCTATTCAGGAAGGGATTAAATGGAAGACTGGCATCACCCTCACCACCACACTTCCCATCACACAGGGCAGCACTGCTAAGCAGCAGAAGGGCACCTCCAACCATGCCTGTCCCACACCCACCCCCCATGCCCAATTCCTGCAAAGCCTAGTAGTTAGCTAATACAAACTCCCAGGTGGAGAGAAACGCAGCCCTTACCCTCTTCTCCATGAGCTGGCAGGAGGCCTGGAATGTGCTGCAAGCCAGACACCAGGAGGTTCTCGGGGAGCAGGTGGAGTGCGGGCGCCAGGGCCGGGTGTGGCTTCAAGGTGTACTGCAGGCTGCAGCTCTCAAGGAGGGTCAAGTGCTTGTTCTCTGGGCAGATGACACATTACATAAGAGCTGAAGCCAAAGGCACTTTCTGTCAACCCAGCCAATAAGCTGAGAATCTTAGAGAAATACCACAAACAGATAATATGCTTTTCTAGAGAGAGAAAAGTGAATTGCTGTTATTTCAACTAAAAGGAAAAAAAAAAAAAAATCAATCCTTAATAACTCTCTCTGACAAAATTGCAATGAAAGAGATATTTGTTTTTAATCCACATAACAAAATCTCTCCCATTCTTCTCTTCCCCAAGCAGCTAGGCCAGGGACAGGCACAGGTACATGCTGTTTCCTTAGGTACCCTGTAGTCTCCATCATAGAGGGGGACTAGAAACTGCTTGTACCCAGAGGCCAGCCTTCCTTCAAGTTGACATGCCAAATCCTTCTCCCTGCCCCTCCAATGTGGCCAAGCTCTTCTCTGCCCCGGGGTCTTTGCACTGGCTGTCCCCTGTACCCAGAGCACTCCTCCCCCAGGTGTCTACATGACTGGCTCAGCTTCCTTATTTAGGTCTCAACTGAAATGACATCCATCAGGGAAGAGGATCACCTGCTAAGGTAGCTCCCCACACCCCTAGGTACTCTCTCTGTTGGCCAATTTTATTTTTTCTCATAGCACTAATTATTAATCATTAGGAGTGCTGGTGCCTCAGTGGTTAAAGCTGCTAACCAAAAGGTCAGTGGTTCAAACCCATCAGCCTCTCCGTGGCAGAAAGATGAGGCAATCTGCTTCCATGAAAATTTACAGCCTTGGAAACCCTATGGGGCAGCTCTACTCTGTCCTATAGGGTTGCTATGAGCCAGAATTGACTCGATGGCAGTGGATTTGAATCATTAACTCAAATGTTCATTTTTTCTTGTCTGTTGACATGTTTGCATTCACTGTTCCCAATCTTCATCTGCCCAGCTCACTGCCATGGTCCTGCTACTGGGCACACACTGACTCTTAACAAACACCTGGTGACTGTGAACTGAAGAAGGAATGAATGCACACATCCTCCCAAGCAGCTGGCACGGCCCTGTACAATTCCCTATTCCTCGTGTAGACGCTGCACCTCCTTTTTTTCCTCCAGTGAGGTCTGTGGGGCTGGCCTCTGCCCAGGGGTGGCCCCAGGTACCCAGAATGTGCACAGGAGCAGGCTGCCCACTGGTGAGGACAGAAAGGCTCCCCTGCTTGGGCTACTGCTTTCAAAATATGTCAGTCGCTTTCTCACTAACAGGAATACATTTTTCTGTGTTAGCCACCTTGCACAAACAAGGCAAGGCTCTCCTGAGATAAGTAGCAGGGACTGGAGCCCAACAGGTTCCCTTGGGCACAGGGTCTGAATGGGCATAGCACATCCCTCACAGCTGGTGCCCCTCATATGCTGGGAGGAGATGGCCCCACAGGCAGAAAGCTTCCTTCTTGGTTCAAAGGCAGCCTCTCATTGCTGGGCCCCATAGAAGCCAAGGAGACTAGGGGAAATTACACAGAGTGGGGAAAGCCTCGCTGACTGGAGGTAACAATGACTTCAGAGCCAAGCTCTCATTCTAGCAGCTGGGACCTGTGACAGAGAGTAACTACTCCACCTGGTGGGCAAGAAGGTCACCTCCCTCCCACACATTCAGTGGCCCTGTTGGGCCCTGACTCCCTCCTCCATGTTCCTTTATCACAGAACAATACCCTCCTTCCTGGTTACTGTGTCTCAGTTCTTCAAACTTGGTCAAACATCCAAGCCTATGGGTACCTTCTGCCCAAACCTACTAAATAAACGAGCCCAGCTGCTAGAGTTTATGTTGAGAAAGATGGCAAGACTGATCTAAAGGGGGATGACACAGGAAAGTTGTGAGACCAACAGGTGCCACTGAGGCAGCGGCACTCTGCTAGCCTCAGACTCTGGGTCAGGCCAGGCCTGCTCTTACGTTCTATGGGGTCCTGGAGCAGCGGGTGCAGGAGGGCCCTGGGGGTGCCATGATACAATCGCAACCTGGAAAAAAGATCCATAAACACGTATCAGCCATCTATATCTGGTGTTTAGTCACTGAATGTCAGCTGGACCTGGTCTCATAGGGAAGCAGGCAAGGTCCCCCACTTCCCTCCACACCTAGGAGAGCTTCCTAAACACCATTCAGTCACATTCCCTACAGAAAGCAGAAGCTCACCACATACTCAGTGCTCCTGGACAAGCACGTCCAGCATACACACAGCACTGTCCCAATGCAGCCCCAGAACCAGGCTGGAGAGCACCACCAAGGGAAACTTAGAATCCTTGGAAATGTCTCAAGGAAGGCAGTGTTTGAAGAATACACCCTGGCTGTGTATATAGAGCAGTGGCTCTCAACCAGGGGTGGTTCTGCCCAGGAAGAGATAAGTGGCCCTCGATAGCATCCTGAATCTCGACCAGAATGCACAGTAAAAGACGTGCTGCTTGACACAAGCAGGTCAACTTCAAGGTCACTGACCCAGATGAAGATACTCAACCTTCTCAGCAGCTTAGAAGGGTGGTTCTGCTCTCTCAGGGACATTTGCCAATGTTCAGAGACATTTCTGATTGTCAGGATGGGATGGCTGGTAGTGGTACCTATAGGAAAAGGCCAGGGATCCTGCCCCTAATACCAAAGATTTAGCCAGCCAGAAATATCAACAGTGCCAAGGATGAGAAACCCTAATTAGAATAACAATGTAAACTTTAGCCTAGGTTAAAATAATTATATGTTATCTCATCCATCTTTGCATGCCCAGGTTCTAAACAGAGCCAGGTCCATGGCAGATACTCAACAAATACTTGCTGGGTGAATATTTATGGCTTATAGGGCCTGCTCATTAAAAAAAAATATTATTGAATATGCAAGCAACCCTTATGAGGTAGGTATTGTATCCCTAACTTACAGATGATATGATGTCTGCTCATGAAAAAAAAAAAAAAAAAGTTACTGAATATACAAGTAACCTTTATAAGATAGGTACTGCATCCCTATCTTACAGATGAGTGAAGTTAACATAACTTGCTTAAAATCACAGATAGAGCCAGGACTTCACCCTATATCCATCCTACATCAAAACATAATCCCCACACCCAAGCACCAGCCCCCCCTCTGGCATAGAAAGCAATCCCTTGGCTTGCTTAGGAAAGGCAAACCCAGTTACAGCCCAAAGCAAAAACTTTCCCACAGTATGTTAACACAGGCTGACAGATCTTAGAGCTTTCTATTGTCACAGAACAATGAGCAATTGAATTCCCCTAGAAAGATGCAGGGAAAACCCCATAGATGCAGAAAGTGAGGTTGATACCGCTTGTCCTGGGAAGCAGAGGTAGGAGACTCTGGCTTATTGCTGAAGATCCGAAGAATTCCAAACCCACAGGACAATGTCTGGAAGATCCCATCCCGTTTCTGGCCTTCGATGACCACTTCTACCACTGCCACGATGTTAGGGTGGTTTAAGGATGTGTGAAAATATAAGGGCTACAAAACAAAAGTCACAGGACAGCTGAGACAGAGGTTCAATGACAGATTGCAGAGAAGGGGACACAGAAAAAAGACTAACATGTGCCCCCACCTTCACCCCATCTACCGCCTTCGTGTGGTATCATTAATACCCAAGGCCCCTACCACATGCCCACGTGTGGAATGCCACATCCCTTCCTAGGGGCCAGAGGCCAGGATATATCCCTCAGAGTCAAAGATATATTTGAGATATTCCCTCAGAGTCAAAGCTGGTGATGGACCTTCTAAGGACCTGACATCCAGAACCTAAGGCAACATGCTTCTGCCCCAGGAACGCTCCTTCCCCTGGGAATCCCACTACAAAGTGCCAGAGACGGAGCCCAGACCCTCTAGAGAAGAGAGTGCTGGACAGCTATGCAGCCCAGACCCAGCACCAGGCAGGCCCACAGTTCAATCAGCCCAGACACAGAATGAATCCACTGCAAACAAACACATTTGCTCAGTGACTTTATGTGTAAGCATTACCTTGTGTTCAACATATAAAACAGCAGTAACAACTTGCCAATGTTGTCTTAACCCCCTATTCTATGTGTAACTATTATGAAGTTCCATCTGAACTAAACTAAACTAAGTTTAAACTTGTTGTTGTTGTTGTTGTTATATGCCGTCGAGTCAAACGTGACTCATAGCGACCCCTCCTTGGGTTTCCGAGGCAGTATCACTACGGAAGTAGGATTGCCCAACCTTCCTTCCGAGGAGTGGCTGGTGGGTTTGAACCGCCAGCCGTCTGGTTAGCAGGCAAGTGTCTTAGCCACTATGCTACCAGAGCTCCCAAGTTTAAACTTAGTATGTTTAAACTAAAAAACATCCTGAGATTTCTTCAGGTACTATGCATTTATGCCAGATCAGAGCACAACTAACTCCTTTCTACAATGAAAGTCAACTTGAGATCATCCAATGGAGGGTTTTGGTAACCCAAGTCAAGTAGGTGATATTGAAACTGAGTAAAAGGATTCTCAGCCCTGGGTGGTGCAAACGGCTAACATGCTGGGCTGCTAACGCAAAGACTGGAGGCTCAATTCCACCTAAGATGCCTCAAAAGAAAGGCCTGGCAATCTACTCCTGGAAAACCAGCCACTGAAAACCCTAGGGAGCACACTTCTACACTGACACACACGGGGTAGCCTTGAGTCAGAGTCAACTCGACAGCAGCTGGTTTTTGTGGGTTAGCGTGGAGATGAGAGTGGCTCGGATTCTGTGCTTTCCTGCCAGCCACCAGGCAGAGGTAGCATCTGCAAAGACAGCCAGGTGAGTCAGATCCATCTCCGTTTCTCTAACCTGCACGTTCCTGCCTAGGAATGCAGCCATGTTCACTCTCTGCAGTTTTTCTATTTCACTGAATTAAATGCAGTGGCTTTTATTCAAAACTGATAAACATCGTAGTCATAGAAAATGGAAACGGTGCCACTGATTGGGTTTGCAAATCAACAGGGAGTTGGCGTCCACAAGAACTCAGAGGCAGCACTGCACTGTGGCTCCATGCTTAGGGTTCGCCATACCCAGAGTCCACGCCAGGGGCAGGGCATGGCATAGACTTACCAGCTGAGCACAAAGGGCTCCCCCCCACCTCCTTTCCCAACCCAAGGCAATGAGAGGTAGGGCAGGGGCAGGGGCTAGTCTGCCTGCAACATGATTTAAATGTGGAATAATCCTCCTATCAACAAATCATTACCACGATGTCACCAAGAAAACGTTTACTGTAATCACAGACTGTCAGCCTAGGATAACAGAGAGACACATTAAAACATCAGCCGCCAGGTATCAATCGTTATTCTATTATCTTTTATTGCAAAATGATGAAATAATGACCACTTACAGCTGACAGGTGGTTGGACTAAGAGAGAATTATGCTTCTCTTTCCAAGACTCTAGAACCACTTTAGAAAAGCCGCTACAAAGCTGAGTTGGTCATTATCTCACCTTTCATATTTGTATCTGTGCAAATTGGCTTTATGCACACTGCCCACTCTTTCTCGGCAGTAAAGCAAACACTTTAAGCTCTGAGGCGAGGCCCCAGTAATCCCCCAGCTGAGGGGTCACCTTGAAGTTGCTCTGCTGCTCTCAGCAGGTCCCAAGGACAGATTTATGGCTGCTACCTCTCCTTGTCACTTACCACCAAAAACAATTATTTTGAGGCAAAAAAAAAAAAAAAAACCCAAACCCAGAGCTGTCTGTCCCAGCTGATCCACCTTCAGAGTCTAAAGAATCCATCAGTAATAAGAGTCAACTGCTGGATGCAGAGCAGGTTTGAAGGCCATCCCAAGTTCATGTGGGTGTTGTATGATTACTGATCATAAAGGACAGATGCTCTTTTCCAAAAATCATTTATTGATCCACCTGCGTGGGAATAGCACCTGCTAAGGAAATTGCAAGGAACCAAGAAAACATGACACAGCCTTCAAAGACTAAAGGGTAGATTAAAACTAAACCAAACCGGTTGCCACCGAGTCCACCCCAACTCATGGCAGCCCCACGTGTGTCAGAGTGGAACTGTGCTCCTCAGGGTTTTCAATGGCTGACTCTTAGGAAGTGGATCTATCTACCCAAAAAGGATGGATTAGGCAGATACAAAAATGCAAACTGCCCAGGAATGAACAGCTTCTCAGTCTCACAGAAGCAAAAAAACCTCCTAATGATGAAAACACAAGTACAGTTACATAGCCCTGAGCCAGTGGACATCCTGGTGATGAACCTCCAAAAGCTGAGGCACTGAACAGCCCATGGAGCACAGTCCCACTCAGCCAGAAGCACCCCCAGAGGGCAAAGTCCTGTCAGATCGGGCATCTGGAACCTGAGAGTCCTCTTCCCGCATGACTAGGCTACGAGCAAGCCCCAGCGAAGCCAGGCCTCCAGAGGGCATGCACCAAGCAAGGCCCTACAACAATCCTTCAGTATAAGGAGATTTAATTAACGTCAATGCAGGGCATTTGAAAGGAAAAGTCTATCCTTCGCCTGAAATTGCATGATTAAAAGTTTAAGTGAAGCCCAGCAAATTGCCTGTGAGGGCAGGCCTGGTGACTGAAGAGACAGGGTTTCATTCACCCATGTCACACCTCACTCATCCACCTGGACAAGTTCTCCCCAACAGGGAAAACAGGTGAATAAATCATTTAAATGCTCCTGTCTGAATGCCTTCATTCCCAAACAGCACTGACACTGCTTTGCCTCGAGGCCCAGTTTCCATTTTTCACCCAAAATGACAGAATCAAAATTGGGCCTCTGATGACAAGCCTTTCTGGAAAAGCTACAGTCGCATATATCCAGCTCCGCTGCCATTCTCCCTGCTCGCCAAGGTGACTGGCTTCCTCCCTCCAGTCCCAAGGGAAGGACAAACCTGGGATGGCAAAGCCAGAGAAAAGCAAAGCAGAAATCAAACTAGTACCTTCCAAAGAATGTTTTTAAAATAAGTCTTTAATATAATACCTTCAGAAAGACAAACAGTTCACAAAGACATCCTAACAGCTTACATCGAGCAGCTCAATCTTCCCCTTGAGCTTCAGCGTGGTTTCCTTTACCACAAGCACAACATCCTCATGTGAAGACTGAACTTCCCCAAGCACGGTAAACCCTGCTGGGCAAAACACTCCACAAAATCTCCAATCCCAAAATCAGGGGCTACCACTCAGCCCAGGTAAAGCCCACCATTACTCACAGCAAAACAAGACAGCGATGAGACAGTTCCCCATAACAAAGAATTATCCAAACTGTCAACAGTGCTGAGCCTGAGAAAGGTTGAAAGTAATAATGTAAATTTTAAGCTTTGGCTGAAATAATTACATTACATCTCATCCATCTTTGTATGCCCAGCTCCTAAACAGAGTCAGGCCCCTGGCGGATGCTCAATCAACACTTCTTGAGTGAATTATATATTGTTTACAGGTGCCTGCTCATGAAAAAATATTAACGAATACTCAGGCAACCCTTATGGGATGGGTATTGTACCCCTGATGTTCAGATGAGTGAATTCAGGGCCAAAAAGCATCAATAACATGCCTAAAATCACACAGGGAATAAGTGATAGAACCAGGACTTGAACCCACGTCCATCTGACATCAAAACCCAACACCCACACCCAAGAGCCAGTTCCACTCTAACCTAAAAAGCAATCCCTTGGCTGACTTCGAAAATGCAAACACAGAACCCAAAGCAAAAATTATCCCACAGAAAGGTTATTAAGAACACACAGCAACAGAGTTTGACATATTTAAAGGTTTCTAAAGCTTTCTATTGTCATTAAGGGCACTCTGGTAGCATAGTGCCTAAGGCACTTGACTGCTAACCAGAAGGCTGGCAGTTCAAACCCACCAGCCACTCCTCAGAAGAAAGATTGGGCAATCTACTTGCGTAGTGATACTGCTTCGGAAACCCAAGGAGAAGTCCAACTTGATGGCACATAACAGCAACAACAACGTTGTCATTAAAGGTGGTCCAGTGGTGCAGTGTTTAAGGCATTAGGCTGTCAATCAAAAGGTTAGCAGTTCAAACCTACCAACTACTCCATGGGAGAAAGAAGCAGCAGTCTGCTTCCATGAAGATTTATAGCCTAGGAAACCCTATGGGGCAGTTCTTCTCTGTTTTATAGGGTCACTATGAGTTGAAATCAACTTGATGGCAATGGGTTTGGTTTTGGGTTTTAATGTCATCGAATGATCAGCAGTTAATCACTGTACGACTAAGCCCCATACTGAAAATATCACAGAGAAATATCATTTCTACTTCTGAAAACACTTTTCCATCATCCTCCATGCCTGGTTCAAAGACTTCTGGAGGGCTTCCTGTCACACAGAGGGAAGAGAAGACTTCACGGAGGGACACGGAGGAGGACAGCTAGGACACACAGGCCTGCCCCAGCAAGCTGACCCCCCCATGTACAGAGTACTCCTTGCGAGGCAGCCTCCCTCTTAATAGCTGCATTCACTATGATTACTTCCTGTCAAGCAGTACAGGGAGCACAGGATA